TCTGCAGCTTCTCCAGCCAATGGGCAGAGAAACAGAGGAGCAGGGAGGTGGACAGGCCGGGACACGCCCGGAAGATACAAATTCTGGGGGAACATCCAATGTGTGTATACATAATAACTGTAAAGCCTGCATCATAAAGTCCCTTCAATCGCTGTACATATTTTTCCATTTCTGGAATCGTTCCCATTCCGATTCTTGGTCCTCAACATCATACTCATACCAGAAACACAGAATGATACTCTTCCTCTTATTCCTGGTTTCTAATTTTATAAAATTTCTATTTTCATGTCTCCTCAAGTTGTCCTACAACAGGTTTGCCACAGACGGTACATCTTAGCATTCACTGAGGTATATTAAGAATTAAATTCCTTACATTCTCAGCAACAAATTGGTCTCTCCAGAAGCAGCCAGGGGGTAAAAGTGGGTTGGTTTTTTTTAAACCTTTTGAAAGGACAATTCCTATTTAATTTACTTCATTAGCATCACCTGATTCCTCTACAATATGGAGGGAAAATCAGTTGTAATCAAGTAATGGTTTCAACAAGAGCATAAGGTGCTGTGACCACTTTGAGACAATTATTACCCAAACTAACACATAAACGTGGAAACAGTAATCGCAACTTGCTTTAACTCCCTGGCCCAGAAGAACAGAGCTGCTGCTTGCTGTTGCCTTCTAAAGTGTGATTAGAGTCCTTCTCTAACATCTAGGTGGCTTCAGACACAGAGCTTATTAAATCCTGATACAGAGCAATTCCTCACTATAACCTCTCTCCCTCTGCCTATAACTTGCCCATTTAATTTGTTATGCTCTGTTTTACATCAGTACACTTAAATTCATTGACAATATTTGCACAGCATTGGCCAAACAGATAGCAGAGGAAAAGAAAAAAAGAAGTATTCCAAAATTGCAGATTACTTTCATCCCTGTGGCAACAAATATACGTGACTTTAAATAACTTCTGGAGAAGTACCAATAAGGGAACCAGCAGAGAAGAAAACCACAGAGCTATTCTACTGCAGACTGATGGACAAAAGTAACTCATAGTTAAGTGACTACTGTATTTCTCATCCTCTTTTAGGTAAACCGAGTTCATAAAAATTTTATTAAACAGCGTGGAACAACTATTGTTTTTTGGGCTTTTTGCCCCCAGCCTGAATCATGTATTGAAAACAGACACAGTGCCAGTGATCAGCACCTGGATACATTACCTGGACAGGCACACTGCAGGACAGCCACTGATTTACCCCCAGGTGCAGCACAGAGATCCAAAACATTCTCCCCATCCTTCACTTCCAAGGCCAGCACCGGCAGCAGCGACGCCGCATTCAGCAGGTAGTACTCCTTCAGTTTACCAGCCTGATGTTTCTGAGCAGGGAATCTCCCAGGAGTTCTCCTGATGTAGCACTTCAATGCTGCTGGAAGATAGGGCAAACCTCCTTGGAAGGCAGGGTGATACCCCTGCACACACAAGCTGTTCTCCAGCTCAGTGCATGGGCTGAACCTGTTCAGCAGAATGGAGTGCTGCCAGCACAATGGGGACGTGAGGACATCTCTACAGGGAAAAAAGGAAAAGCTACTTAATAACCTGACAAATAAGTCAAGTTATCGTTTCCAAGAAACCCTTTACTTACAGTCTCACCACTGGATGATCCTGGTGTAATCAGAAATTAAAACATTTTCGTTAGATATGATTAAGAAGAGTACACAGGAAAATAATTTTAATAGGGAATCAAGACACCATTTTTTCTAATTATTGCATTTGAAACACTTAATTTCTTCAGAGACAAGATGTTCTCCATTTTTCTTAACTCTAATAAATGACTGCAAAAGATATACATGATGAAGCATAATGTTCTTTCCATCTACTTCCTACTTACTTCCCTGGGGGCAAAGAACGACTGCAATATGAGCTGCAAATATCACAGCAAAAAGAATCACGTCACCTTTGCGAAGGCCATTCTGGCCAACACTGTAATATGCAGTTTTTACAGTTTTTCTTTTTTACATTTTATGTTCTGCAAACACCGGGCCAGAAAAACTTAAAGCAATAGATATTCCTGGAAGACAGTCAGAAAGCAGTGCTTATGTGGTAGAAACATGCTTGTTTGCTCTCCAGTTCACTTTTTCAGGTCTATTTCGCATGGATTTCCCCCCTTTTCCATTTGAATTCCTCTTAGCAATTTTTCATTTGGTCTCAAAAAATACTCCTCAGAAGTATCCACTGCCTAAAGCAGAGAAAACACTGATCCAAACTAAGAGAGTTTTTAAGTTGATTCAATTAAACTGAAGCTATACACCTATGCTTTTTAATAGATATATTAAAAAAAACAAACAACAATGAAGGCATTTAATTTAAATTACTTTTTAATTCAAAGAGGATAAACCAAAGAGGGCACTCAGAGGAATTACATGGTTTCTAAGACTCTGAGCATGATTTTTCATTTCAAGGAATGTTCTTTAGCAGCGGTGTGATCAAGGCCCAAATTAAGAGACAGCCATTAATATCAATTCCTCTCTCCTCCCTTCCCCACCTCCCCAAAACAACAGACCTGACACTGCTCCATGCATTTCCCAGTTCTGCCGTGTACTGCTTGTCAAAGTGATCCAGAATAACTCGACAAATTTGCTTTTGAAGTTTCCCTTTTGTTTTACTTTCCAGCTTTGGAGAAAGGAAGGAAAAAAAAAAGAAAAGTAGTAAAAACAAACAAATGAAACCCTCCTTAATTCTTCAACATGGTTAAGGACATTCAAATATCAAGATCACAGGAGATGTGATCAAGATGTAACAGAAATTTCAGAGAGTGAACAAGTTAAGCTGGAGTACACTCTTCTTCCCTGCCTGTGAAGAAGTCAATCAAAGCTTGTTGCTATCCCTCCATATCCACTAATAATACTAATAATGCTAATAATACAGTAGTTTCTGGGACTCTGATCTACCAGGAGCAAAATAAGCAAGGTATGATTATGATCAGTATGATCAGCTCTGCCAAGGTGTAAACCAAAAGAATGGAATTAATTTGAACCGTTGCGGGAGACAAGCTAAGTTAACCCGCAAAGCCCCGCAATAACTACTCCAGGACTAACCAAAAGCACTACACTTTTTGGGTTTTAACCTCCTAAATTTTGCATGTAAGGGAGGGGGGGGGAGAACTTTCGGTTTCTAAGTAAACTCGTGCTATCTATAAGGAAACCCCCAAAGGTAAACACCTACATTTTGCTGGATATTTTTTTGCCCCTTAACGGCACCCAGCAGCTTCCTGACGATCCCCATGGAACAGGCCCAGCTGACGGAAGGCAGAACCCGAAGGACTAAGTTCGGAGCTACTCCTCTTGCCTCCCGGTTCCTTCACCCGGCACCGAGCGCGGCAGCGGGGCCGGGGCTTCCCTCCCGTGAAAGATCATCCCGGGCTCGGCACAGACGGCAAGGCTGGGCACCAGCAGCTTTCCGTACAAGGCAAGAAAACCCGGGATGCCCCCGCTGGTTCGGAGGAGGGA